TAGTCCGATGGCACCTCCGCCGCCAGGTGGTCATAGTTTGAAGCTGGCGAAATGCTAGGGGATTATATGTGTTAGGGGTGAAGGATTAGCTTGGGGCCATAGGCAGAGCGAACTTTTTTGCTATTGGTCAATCAATGGTTTCTCCTTAATATAATTACCTGTAAGATATTATCAAAGTAGGTGCGGTTAGGTGTATATTAGCTTTGGCAATTGTTTTGAGCTCATATTAAAAATATTGTCCAACCCTCTCGCCACCCTTCAAACCCATACTGAAGTCAAGTTTAAAGAGGGCAAACAACTGCTCCGGCATATTTCAAAACTTTTGTGTTTGCTTCGGCATAACTACGTTAAAAATACTCCAAATTACGAGCAATTTGAACGACTGGATAGAGCGTTCTTTCCTCTACAACTGGATAACTTTAGATTTTTGTAATTTTGCTTAGCCTATGACACATGGATTCGTCTGACCAATAGGAACGCAACGCACCCATCCTTTTGCCAATCAGAGATCTGGAAGTATCCCATCTGAAACTGCTTGCAATATTTGCAAAACAGAGTACCCATTTTAAATGCCCGAGTTTGACGGGGGGACATGACTGATCATTATATTCTAAAGAAAAATTTAAATTTGGATGTCGCCTGCCCAGCTTTGAATATCGCCGCTCTGATTGGACCACGTGTAAGAGTGCGCCGAGAGCTATACGTTGGTGTATGAGCGCGGGTTGGAGCCTCAACTTCGTCTTCATCGTTAGCCATTAGGTTCATTTATGATGTGGTTGACTTTAAAGCATGACCGAAGTGCTCCTTGGTCGCTGAGACGTGTGATGATGCAAGCTGGCATGAAAGTGGGTAGCTGGTACACGAGCGCTACTGTGCATAGCCCTGTGATATTCACTAGGTCGCACACATACGTACATATCTTACTATTCCGTCAAAAAGCGCATTCACAGGGTCTCTAGCTACCTCTACCTGCATGAGCCGACGGCTGATTCTTCGCCGCTAATGATATTTTCGATTAATATCACTTGAAATATGTATCAAAATATAATTGCCAATCAATTCTAGTGGTGGGAGGGGTGATCCCAACACGGGATTCCGAGGTCCGTGGTGAAAGTGTCACAACTGAACACTTATTAGACCCTGTTCGGGCAACTAAAGGTTGTATATCCCAACATAAAGCCGCGAATGACTTTAGTGGACAAGTACGCCTTGTACGTTATGCATTTAATGAAACCGAATGCAACGTATTCTGAATTGGCATTATGGGCTAAGGAAGAATTCAACCTATGCGCTGTACCATCCAAGCAGATTGTTGGAAGCGCCATCAAGCGCCACCAAATCAAAAGTCTCGGTGTCGACAGCAAAGTCAGATCCATGGACCGTGTGCTTTCGCTGCCCGATATGGAAAAATGGCTCGTTGAATGGATTCTCTGATGCGAGGAGCTTGGAGTTTACCTCACAGTGTTATGTTTGAGTGCGTGTATTTGTGGATATTTGGGCATCGTATACATCTTGGTGTGAAATGTCTGGAAATACGAAATTATGGTCGTTGAACACGTAACGACATCTCGCACTACAAATATACTTCATAATATAGCAGCAGAAATGAGATATAACTTGTGCACAGGTCTACTTGATTGGTCATAGCGCACACTCACACTGTCAATTCGCCGTATGACAACTCCAACGAAAGCGTCCAAGTCCGCAAACTGGACAGACGACTTGGATGCCGAGTTCGTGGTGATATATGCGGAGGTGGCTGCTAAGAGCGAATACGTAGCAAGTGGTGGCAAGCAGCTCAAGAGCATGGGGTGGTCCGACATTCTTGCCCGTCTGCACGGCCGGGGCGACCTTACCACCAACAGTCAACTGCAATTGCGCTGGAAGAGGCTCACTGAAGTTTACGCGGATTACACGTGGCTTATGCTCAAGTTCTCCGGTGATGGCTTGGTCGGTACTGTATCAGTGACGATGCATGGGCTGAACTCGACAAGCACCCACGCAATATGCCGTAGTCTCGCTTTCGAGACCGTCCCTTTCAACATTACGACACCACTGCAGAGATGGTTGGCGACGCGATCACGACCGGTGAATTCATTCGTGGCATGCCCGTGGTGCAGAGCGACGTCTAGGTTAGCGCTGTTGAAAAGTTCAGGCGTCGAATGAGCACGCCTTGATGGCAGCGCAAAAGCGGAATAAACTTATCAACGACATCATGAAAAACAAACGTCGCCGGCAAGAGGAAGATGCAGTTCAGCCCATCGCAATCAAGAAAAAGAACAGTGACTCTGGCAGCAATATGCAGCTCGATGCAAATGATGACCAAGATTTTTGCTGCAAAGAACAATCTTGAGGATCTTTTTAATGACGATGAATAGAATATTTTATTGTGAGCTTTGACTATTGCATATTTTTGGACTTAAGGTTGGTTTCTAGGACTATTGCACTGAGTTTAGTTTTCAAATATCCTAGAGATCTGTAAAAAAGAGGGAAATGGAAAATATTTATAATAACATTGGCAAATTTTGAATCTGAACTATGTGAGTAGTACATGTAGTACCCCATTTCAACAAGGATAATTTGATCCATTTTAGGACTAATGTGAGATGCCAACATGCAAATGAGCATATTATCATTCGTTGATATTCTACGTAAGCTTACTACATTTTTCTTGCACTCGATTCTCGCCAGCGCTCGTTCGCATAATCCGGTGTTTGCAGGGCATCTTGATGTAAAAAGTCATCGTCGTCCTGATTGAACTGCACCAAATCATCCGTGATCTCATCAAGAAATGATGGGCTACATGCAACACAAAGATTGTGCAAAGCAGCACATGCATGAATGACATCGATCGCATACTCGAGATGCAAATTCATGTTACACGGGTTGTAGTGCCCCAACGGAATGCTCTTTTCGAAGCACGATTGACTGTAGTTGAAGCTGTCAGACGAGCAGCCTTTACTGTCAGCAAATACGCCAACAACCCCAAGGACATTCGTCGTCTTCTGCCCCTTGCGATTCCGAAACCGATCGGGCATATCAGCTGGCACCATCATCGGGATGTACTTGCCATCGAGGGCACCGAGACAATGATACAACATTGGATGCTCCTGCTGGAATGCGACACAGCTGCTCACGATGCGGTCCGGCTCGTGGGGGTCTACTCCATAAAAGCCGCCATCCAGAGGCCGCGGGTGATTGCATGGACGCCAACCTGTCGGTAGTACACCAACGTGACGTGGTTGTTGTCTTGAAAGAGCTGTTCTTGACTGCGCGATGACGCACCACTTGCCAGCCACTGTAGGGTGACCATTATTAAAACTGGCGGGTCCAATGCGTTGGGAACGTGCGGTATCGACAGGGTCACCAGAAGCTCAAGTGCCTGCTTCGTCAAACGGACTTGCTCCAGGTAAAACATGTCACCTCCATGCGGCAGGTCATTCTGCAGGTCAAGGAAGCCCATGTATCCATGCATAGGTCTAACATACTTATGCTGCGGGGATGGTGTTGATCGTTCGTCGTCTAGCTCCATGATGCATGATGCGATACCAACAGACATGGCCTGCATCATCACGGCAAGTTCGTCATCCATCATTTCTTGGAATCTCCACTAATCACTCTATAATTGAGTATTAGGGTTCGTCTGGCAACCTGAAATATTGCAATTTTCAGGCCCAAAGCGCAATTTTAGGGCCGAATTCAACAAATCTGATCAAAATTGAAAGATGTCTTGCTTGCAGAGGTTTAACCCAAATCCAATAATTCCACGTGGGATTTACTCGTTGAAGAGGTCCAAAACGCCACATTACAAAATGGACCTTTTACCTCCATTTTGAAAATGACATTTTGGTTAATCCCATTTTGCGAGAAAATGGAATATTGTTTTTGAAATGTTACCAGCCAGACGTACCCTTACCCATGACTGATATTCTGAAATACCCAAAATGTCGAGCTGTGGAGATGGATGGATTTTTCACGGATATACAGGTTGGGATTATCTGGGACATTGAAAAAAACGTGTTCAATGGAATTTCGAAATAGCCGGCGGATATATCCATTAAAATATCCGATTTTGACCCAAATGTGCGAATATTTGGTGTCATTGAACACGCCCTGAAGAACAAAATGTTCTTCTCATTAAATACGATAAAACCTACATTATAAATTGACCGATATTCCTGAATGGACTTGAAAGGCAGAAGACGTGACCTCACGAACGACGATCGGGAGGAAATCCTTCGAGAAGCCATACTGAAAAGCTCCAAGACCTACGCAGTCAGAATACCAAATGAGTTTGGCGGACAAGTTGTAACTCTGCCCGTCATCCGGTTATCATCCGGATCACTAGTCGACACTTCTTCAGCCCAAGGTGTTCTTTCGTTTACCAAGATGTCCTCTCGACCTCGTGGTATGACCAGCCACGCCCATAATATGCCACTCGGCGTGGAAACCGCCGTTTTAGGGACGTCGCACAGACGCATCAGCAATTGGTAGAAACCATCACAAAGATCGATGGTGATGAAAATGGTAGATCGACCCATGCCATCGATGATAATGTCGTTGCGAGAAATCGGCATCTGAGCCGGAATCGTGGCCGTGTTCCATTTTAAGGCATGGAATATACGCCATTCCGCCCCGGGCTTCTCCATGCATAAGGTTGGGCTGCTGTAAGGTCAAATGCTATTGCGGACGTGACCAACCGCTTTGCGGTCCGCGAAGAAGGCGTTGATGGCGTCGATGACGTCGACTTGGTCGCGAGGCAGCGGCCATTGCTGCGTGACACAATACTTAGCACCGGGTACGAGGTCAATTCCCTATTACGACCACCTCAAGGAGTTTG